TTGCTATCACCATGCTAGGATAAGCCAGCCTTGCTATCACCATGCTAGGATAAGCCAGCCTTGCTATCACCATGCTAGGATTAGCCAGCTTTGCTATCACTATGCTAGCATTCGCCAGCCTTGCTATCACCATTCTAACATTAGGCAGCTTTGCTATCACCCGGTTAGCATTTGTGCACCTTGCTATCTCCAAGCTTATATTATCCCGTCTTGCTCTCACCATGCTAGAATTAGCCAGCCTTGCTATCACCATGCTAGCATTAGCCTGCTTTGCAATCGCCATGCTAGCATTATCTCACCTTGCTATCACCATGCTAGCATTAGCCAGTTTTGCTATCACTATGCTAGCATTAGCCCGCCTTGCTATCACCATGCTAACATTAGCCAGCCTTGCTATCACCATGCTAACATTAGCCAGCTTTGCTATCACTATGCTAGCATTAGCCCGCCTTGCTATCGCCATGCTAACATTAGCCAGCTTTCCTATCACTATGCTAGCATTAGCCCCCCTTGCTATCACCATCCTAGCATTAGCCAGCTTTGCTATCACTATGCTAGCATTAGCCCGCCTTGCTATCACCATCTCTCTTCCAGCCATTAGGGACTGACCAGCAGCCAGTCGCTAAGTATTTCTGCTATTGCAACCTTTTAGCTGTTTTATCAAAGATGAGGAAATGATGGGAAACCAACCATGGCTTATTGCTAGCATTGCTAATGCTACATCCACATAAAACACAAAGCAGAGAAAACGGGGGATAAATATGGGTTTCAATGAGCTCCTTTTAACTGTTTTTCCCAAAAATTATTAAAGATGAATTTAAGGACAATCTCAGAAGGATTGTAGAAGTTAAATAGCAGGTTATGATCCCTTTAATATTTAAAAATAATGAATTAACCAATAACAATTAACTGAGGAATGGAACTTAAATAGAAAAGAACTAGACTAAAGGTCACATTAATACAAATTGAACATTTAGATTCATATCAGTAGAAGTTCAGGGAAGTGTGTCGGGGAGACTTTCTAAACGCGGGGATTCCTTCAGTGCAGCAAAATCAGAAGCACGTCTGGGAAAGATTAATGAAAACCATAAAGCCATCAGCAGATTAAATCTATAGTGCGATAGTTCTGGGATACAGATAAATTAATTTTGCTCAAGCACAGTGCTTTGGAGTCGGCGATCTATTAAACGGATATTTTTCTCTTTGCAGGTCTGCAGGTTTCCACAGCTTTGTGAAGATGGCTCTCAATAAAAATCCCCGGAAGAGGCCCTCAGCTGAGACTCTTCTGCAGGTTAGATGGTCTTTTCTTTAGTCCAACTGTTTTTATTATTCTTTTTTGTTTCTGCATTTTTTATTTTATTTTTTTTTTTCCTACCTGCTTTGATTCTGTTTTATTTTCCTATATTTTATTCATATAAAGCACTCCGCATTGTCTTTGTACGTAATTGTGCTATACACATAAATTTGCCTTGCCTTGCCTTGCCTTTGAGACAGTCTAATGAACCAGGGTTCGTATGGCGCTAAATTAGTGCCGGAAAAACAAATCCCCAAGGATGTTTTATGAAGCTGAAAAAGAATATTTGCAAACTGAAGTATCAGTAAAAATAAAATAAAAAAATTTGAACGGAGAAGAAATGTCGAAAAGGAAAAGATGTGAAACTCTAAATGTTACTAAAATGTTTAAAACTAGTCTTCAGATTCAAGTTTCGTGTTTAGTTTCTGATTTTTTTTCAGCACTTTTTGATCTTTTTTTTAGTGTTAATTTATTTTCAGTTTCAAATCTCTTTTTTGTTTACTATGCTTTTCAGATTTTAACCTTTTCTTTCTATATATAAAAAAATACTATTCAGTGAGTTATGTTTGTACGGAAGAGGATTAGGGCCACTGAAAAAAAATAAAGTTAACTGATTTTTGAATTTTATTTCAGTTTAACATTGGAAAAAAGTCAGAATTCTGACTTTTTTCTCAGAATTCTGACTTCTTTCCTATACTAAACTGAAGTAAAATTTAAAAATCAGTTAACTTTTTTTTTTTCAGTGGCCCTAATCCTCTTCCGTATGTCTGTTTTCGGTTTAAACTGTATTTTTTTTACCTTAAAATTATTTTTTGGACAAACTTGATTCCCCCAATTTAGCTCCATAAGTTCTTTTAAAAAGATGGGGTGTAATATCCATAAGCTTAATTTTAGCTTTTTCATGTAGAAAAGATATTGTTTTTCTAGAGAGAAATAAGTTTAGATGGTATTTACTTAAATTAAAGATGCAATAAGGACTTGGATTACGCATTTTTGTGTTTTTATAATAATTTATCCTGCTAGAGTTAGTTTGAGAATTGCTGTAAGAATCTAATGTTGAATATTTTTAGTAATAATCTCGTAAAAGCAACATCGGCTTCAGTCTCTCCTCACTGGAGCGATTCCAGAGAAATCAGCAAACCTTCTCGTGGTTTTTTCAGCATCCGTTTGTGACCCAGCTGCTGACCCGGAACCTGATCATCGAGCTGCTGGACCTGGCCAACAACCCTGAGCTGCACAGCTCCGTCCCACACAGCATGGATGACAGCGAGCTGGAGGTCAGTGACTCAGGCGGATGAAGGAGCAGCCAAATGCCATTAATTAGACTTCAACATCACTTCAACAGTGACTGTAATCCATCAAATATTTAAAAAATGTTTAGTCAAAGACATTATGGCGTGCACTTATCAACAGAAGTACTGTTGTACATCTTAGCAGTACAGTGAAGGACACACGGAGTCTATAAAGCAGCATATTAGACCATTTAAATCTGCAAGTTTAAAGCAGCACTGCATAACATTTGAGTCTGAGATGTAGAAATTATTTTT